GAGATCATCTGTTTTGATTATAATGGGACAATTGATTATATTTGCATGATTCTGAAACAGTGACACATTCATTGTAAAAAATTCAAACTATACCAAAAATTATAATTAAAATGTAAAGCCATAGAAAAATCTACAACTCAAGGATAACTTCTTTTATCAGTCTGGATAACCACTTTTATCAGACACCTCTCCATGCATAAATACAAACTTACAAGTGTAAGTTTTTAAATTTTAAAATTTAACATTGATATGATCATACTCAACATGCATTCTGTAACTGTTTCCCCCATTGGGACACATATCATTGACATCTTTTCATGTCAATAATTAGAGAACTATGCCATCATTTTTAATGGCCATGCTGTTTCCCACTGCATATTGGTTCCATAGTTTTTTTTTTTCATCTCCTGTTCATGAACACTTTTTCATAATTTTGAAACATACTTGTGCATAAATCTTTTTACATTTACATGGTTACTATCTTAGGGTAGAGCCTGGAATATGAAATTCCTGGGCTGAAGATTATGGAAAATTGACATGGTGATTGATACATATGACCAACCATCCTTCCAGAAAAATTGAAGCAATTTTCATTACTCTGAAACGGGTGTGAATGTGTCCATTTTCCCACCCTTACTGAAACAAGGGTTAGAAAATTTATAAAATTTATTTGTTAATATGCTAGATCAAAAAATGTTGATTTTATTCATATTACTTCAGTGAGGACAAGCATCTTTTCATATTCATTAGGCATTTGTATATATTTTGCCTTTTGTGGATTGCCTTTTCCTCTGTTTTTCTATTGCATAGTTCCTTTCTTTTTTGAGACTCTTCCCACCCCATTTTGTATGAGTAAGGATACAAAATATCCTTGTTTTGTATAATAAGGATATGACCCTATATATGTCTTATGGATTGTAAATATTTTCCCTAGTTGGTTTTATATTTAAAAATTGTTTACATCAGGGAGAAATTCTTATTTTTCATAATAGGAATTATGATTTTTTTAACAACATAAAGAAGTTTTTAATTTTTTGCAACTTGAGAATCTGTTTTTTTTAATATGGAATGTAAGATATAAAATTCAAACATACTTGTGATAAGCAAACATTTTACATTACTTTGGCTTTCTTAGTATTACTTCTATTTGAATTATACCTTTAAGAATAGGAACATAAATGTATGATTAATGATTTTGCTATTTCTTTTCTATTACAGATAGATTTTTCTCTAAGTCTAGGTCACCACCAAAATTGGTTAATTTGAGAGAATCTTACTAAAATTTAGAAATTTAAAATGAGAAAAATTATTGATTTTATTTATCAATTCACTATGAAAATTTGTATAGCATGTAATAATGTACAAAAACATTTTCGCATGTTTAATTTTATCTGCTTCTCAGAATCACCCTGTGAGTTGAATACCATTATACAAATTTTAACATTTTATATATGTGAAAAATTGAGGCTTTGGGAAAATTACAATCTTTTTCTGACATAAAATCACAGAACTAACATGTATGTGACATGATCAGGATTTGAATCCGGGTCTTTGAGTGAAAATTATGTATTATTCTTATTTAATTCTCCTGTATCCTAATTTTTGTTTTTCACTATAATAAAAATAAAAAGCAGATGCTTAATGGCAAGCTTGTCCAATTATCTGTATAAGTGACTTGTTAAAATGCAGAATATGACATGAAGATATTTTCGTTATACCTACGGAAGAAATTCTATTTGACAACCAGAAGTTTGATGCATTTTGAGCACTCTGGCTTTAAAATTTTAGCCGAAGATCTCAGGGCAATTCTCTAGTCACACCTCATTGCTACAGAGAACCTGCCTCTTCCTGTCCCTGATGAATTCCCCCATGGAGCTAATTACTTGGAGGAAGGAAGGAGCCAAAGATGAGCATCCCTTGTGGAATTTGCTCTTGCACTACACAGCTTCTCCTCAACCCATCATGGTACCAGAAACTAATATTTTCCCAAAGAAGCTATGTCACCTCTGATATTGAGGGCCATCATATTAGCAAAACAAGGATCTGATGGAAGAAACACTGTAACGAGATGGCCAGAATCCACACAGCCAACCTACAGAGGTGAAGAGAAATTCACTGGCCTGTTACCAGGAGATGTATGTGCTGAGCTAGGGTGTATGCCTTGTGATGCTGACTTAATCTTTGCCTGTCAGACAGCTCCTGGCCATCTCTCCCCTGCCCCAGGACCCCTCTCTCTGATGCTGCCCCAGGCAGTGGGTACCCATTTCCCAAAAGATCCCCAAACTCGACCTCCTTGGGGAGTCTCTTTGGATTCTTTGGGAGTCTTTGCACAACAGGATTTCCACCTCATGTTCTAGAAGCTCTTTCTCTTTTGTTTTTTCCAATGGGAATTTCTTTTGCTTCTTTTTCAATAACATTGAGTGTAGTATAGCTTTCCTTAAAGTACTTTCTGAAAGAAAAATTCTACAAGACCATATCTATTTCTGCTCTGAAAATCTTAGGGCAGAAAAGGAGACAATCAGGAGTGGTGTGATTGGTGCATATACAGATGAGAATTTTGTTGTTTCCTTTTACAATCATTTAATTTTGTTATACAGGTGTCAGTGTAACTTGAAGTAAGAAGCACCTGTAGCTACATTTTCCCTTGTGCTGGTCCTATCTAATGTCAATATGTGATTAACTTTTATTTAACGCAAATTCCTTCCATCTGTCTATTTATGAGTGTTATTTCATAATGCGCCTTTAAAAAACATTATGTTATGTTTAATACCCAAGAGGTCATTTCTCTCCTGAGGCATCATGGTACTTGAGATGAAGAGGAATGCTCTTGAGAAAAGGGTTGCCAGATTTAGCAAATAAATATACAGAATGTCCACTTAAACTTGAATTTCAGATAAACAACAAATAATCTGTTAGTATAAGTCAGTCCCAAATATTGCATACTTATTTATGGTACATGCTTATGCTATGTATAATATCATACTGAAAATTATTTAAAATAAATATTATCCTAAACAATTATTGTTTACCTGAAATTCAAATTTAACTGGGTAGTTTATATTTTATCTGGCAACCCTACCTGAGACCAGTATTCAGATTCTACAGAGATCATAGCTGGTCTATGTCAGAGGAAGCAGCATGTTTTTTAATTTTCACATGAAGTGGAGTAGAGCGGCATTCTTCACCCACTAGAAATAGCATAGGAAGGGTCGTTCATTCAAAAATGTATATCCCTTCTGGGTTGACCCACTCTGGCATCTCAAATTCAGGGTGGATGATAAGATATATCTATTTAATAGTGTTTTATAAATCATTGCTTGGAGCTACTCATGGTTTCTTTTAGAGGCATGCATTTTAAATTAATTGGTATTCTTTTGTACTTCTTCCCTGAGGTAATTTTAAAAATCTTAACTCCGCAAATCTAATCAGTAAATTCCTGGGTCTATTTAAATATTGACATTAAAAAATTTTTAAGGATTGCAGTAAGCTTTAATGAGATACAGAATAATGTAAGATAAATCAAATATAATTGCCATTGAAGTCCATAAAAATAAAAGTACTCCAAAGTGTTAAACTGAAACATTAAGTCCCTCAGAGCAGGATGTCTATAAATCACGTCTGAAGGTCCAACCGAGGTTAAGTGTAACTAGTATTGGTTAGAGTTCAAATGAGTCCTATTTTTTAAAAATTAAAATTCTGCATGTCAAACTGGAATCCTACTAGACCCTAAAAGTAACCTGATTAGGAGCTTAGAATGTTAAGGCCAACAATTTTCAAACAATTGGATAAACTTTGTTAGAAGTCTATTGCCATGCATCGCAGCTACACTGCCATCTACTGGCCTTGATTTTTTAGAAGTAAAAATTTGAGTCCTACCCCCATCCAATTCTTCTCATTTTAAAATACTGACATGGTTTGGGCTTAAGGTCAGGAGAAACAGGATTTGTAATAGTTTTGCTACCATTTCCTTTAAAATTCTGTACCAGTGTGGTAGATTAAAGATGGTGGCGAATTCTTTGCTTTTCTTCACATTGAGAAGTCGAATCTAATTTTCTTGCCCTTGAGTCTGGATTGGCCTCAATGACTTTCTTGATCAATAGAATGCTGCATAAGTCACATGCTGGGAGTTTCAAGACTATTCCTTAAGAAGCCTTTTGACTTTCATCCAGGCCTTTAAAAATATTTTCCCTGCTACTGTGTAACTACCTGAGAAGACAAAAACAAGGCTGGGGAGGCCACAGGTAGGCCCTCTGGTAGACCATTCCAGTACAACCCAACCCTCTAGCGATCTTTGCCCCCACAGACATGTAAGTGAAGCTGTCTTAGGCCCTCCAGCCCAGCCCACCTGGCGGCTGATTACTACTAAGGGAAGGCTATTGATGCCATGGGGAACAAAAGAGCAGCCCTGACAAAGCCTGCTGGGATTCCTGACCCATGAAATCCTGATGTAACCCATAATAAAATGCCTGTTTTTTCAACCTACTAAGTTTTGGAGAAGTTTGTTAAGCAGCAATAAATCACCAGAACAAATAGTGATGTACTGATCTTTACACTTAAAAAATAATAAAATGTGGTGAAAGAAAAGAAGAATGGGCTGATTAGAAAAGGTGAAGGGGGAGGAGTGGGAAAAAATTCTCTAAAAAAATGTTTGTCCATGAATGCTGTGGACACTAATAAAGATGAGCTAGGGATTTAGAGGAACTGCAGTAAATTTAAAAAACCAGAGAGTCACAAATTTTTCCCAGGTTGCTGCTATAATTTAGAGTAAACTCACAACTTTGGCCCAACTTCTTAGGGATTCAGAGAGAAAATAGCAGTAGAGTTTCACTTCAAGGAGATGCTGTGAACAGTAATGAATGAACATGACAAATAAATATGCTGCAAATAAGAGCCAAAAGTGCCACGTAAGAAGCAATCTTTGTACCTACTAAAAATCTTACATCGGATGATTTCAAATTGGACATGTCTCAGAAGAAAATAACATTGAAAATACAAACAGATTTTTATTTTTTGTACTTTTATTGAAAAGGTACATTTAAAAAAATACACAGACATTTTACCATTTATAGATTGCAGATATAGATGCTCTAAAAGAGTTCTCTCTATGTTATTGTTTTATGCTAACTCTTGCCCCTGATATCACAAACATTCCAGTCTTGTTGATATCAGCTTAGAAAGGGGGGCACGGGAGCATGACCTGCAACATATTCAGTGAACAGAAAGACAAATTGTTCAATTACAAATGTTTTATCTTCTGTACATTATTGCATTAGGGAGCCACAAAATTATGTAGCATCATTACAAATGAAAACAGGTTAAAAATGAAGAAGATAATTATGTAGAAATACATGGATTCATTGTCTTCTTGCAGAATGCACAAGAGGTGCAAAAATGTGCAATTTAGGAAGCTCTTTTTCTGTTTGTATACATTTGCTTAGCAACTCAAACCGGTGAGTAAGCTACAAAATAAGTTAAACAAAAATAGCAGATAGGTAGTAATTATAGCTATGTTATATGGCTTTCTATTTCGTTTAAATATCTCCAAACAAAATGTGAAATAAAGAAAATACATTACTTTATCTTTTGTTCTCTTACAGAGAAAATTCAAAGCTAATTTGCTTCCTAACATTTACACAGCAACTAAAAATGTTTAATTCAGACAAGAGATACAGATCTAGTACTACACAGGATACAACAGTACTGGGTCTAAAACAGTACACAATCCCTGTCAACAATAGTACATCAAAAAGAAAACGCTGTGATCCGTTGGTAAGATGGTATCCACAAGTAAGCACTTGTGTTCATCCATTTTTGTCCCACATTAGAATATGCCCAGTTGGACTCCAGAGTTATTTACAGACATCTGAGGAAGATCCTAGTTTTCAAGTCTGTCAGGAAAATATTCCATATTGTTTCTAAGTCAGATCACACACATGGAAAAATAGAGAATAATTTTCTTTCTTTTTCTTTCTGACCAATACATTTTCAAGAAACCAAATATCTCAGATACACAAATTGAATGGGGTTGGGGAGGGGAGGGGATAGGAGAGAAAGCCTATTCTGCTCAGATTCCTAAACTCTAGGAGCGGTCCACGAAAGCACTCTTCGATCTAGTGATTTTTCTTTGGAATTGGGGATTGGTGGGATAGGCTGCGTTTTGGGTGGGGCACTGCAACACAAAATGCTTAAATTGACGAATCCTTTTGGCTTTCCTTCTCCACTTTCCTACTGGCCTCAACCGTCCGGGGCTTTCAGACGTCAGTACGGAGCGAAGAGGATGGAGGCGGGAGTGGCGCGGATGGGCCCGTGGCCCGGCCTCAGCAGAGCTGGAGGAATGGCTGGAGCCTGGAAGAGCGAGGCCGACGGCCGGGGCGGGAGTGACAGCGCAGAGGACACGGCTGCCGCCGCCGCCAGTGGCGAGGACAGGAAGGCCGGGGCCAAAGGCTTCATCATGTCTTTCTGGAATGCAAGTTTTGCCTAATGGAGGGAGAAAACCAGGAATGGGGTGGAAACATTGTTTCCGGATAACAGCTCCACAGACATCTCTCCCTAAGTAAAACACCAACATTAAGATGTCTTAAATTTTAAAAAATCTGCATAGGATCCTAAAGCTATTTTATGCTGCTGCTCAGCAGGGAAAAAACCAAACATATCAAGAAGATTTCTGCTTAGGCAACGGAGCTCAATTAAAAATTCAGACTTGTCTTAAACCATGATGAGACCTAGAGAGGCTTTTTTTTTTTTTTTTGAGACTATGCATGATTCTTTACTTCTCTTAGCTAAGGGCCACTGAGGTTAGCTACCTGGGGTTCAGGTCATCAGGGACTCATGAAGAGTCAAGAAAACAAAGTCAGTTTACACCTCTCTCACTGGCCACTTCATGAGTATTCCTTGAAAAATCACAGCTAATTCAAATTTCTGTTGTTGGGAATGATTGTAAATGGGCTAGAAAATCTCCATTTAAAGGAATTCCAGGGTGGAATCCTCCTGTGAAGAAAGAAATCGAGCCTTAATTTCTCTCTTTTGCAATCAGAAGGAGCACTGTGAGCTGGATTTGCTTACTGCAGGTACCACCTGCTTGCAGCTTCGCGCAGAGGCTTTGGAGAAGTTGGAAGGCAATCTCAGGATCACCTCCAGCTGGACAGTCCCAGCTTCATCTGCAGGCTGAACACTGCACTGGGCCCAGTCCCAGCGAGATTGTGAAATCCATCCATCTGGGTATTTATATGACACCTATTGCTGGAGTCCCTAGTATTTTTTGTAAAGAAACTGAAAACAGCACATTTGAGAACAGGTAAGACAGACTGATTACTAACATGCCTGATAGAATGGAGAGAGAGTGCAATATAAATACCACTTTACTGTCTCGTACCAAAAAAAAAAAAAATTGCCAGAAAGCAGCAGGATATTAAATTAAATGGATAGATTTTTGTTTTATGAAAGCAATCCCTCTTTCCAGACTCAACACATCCTAGGATTCCTCAGGGATCACCTGTCTTATGTTTATATGCTAAAGAAGGTAATCTTTTGAAAAAGTCTTGATAAAGAGTAAAGTATTAGTTCTCAAAGAGGTTTAGTTTCTCTTTTCTAAGGAAGTTTTCTTCAGGGTGTCCTATAGCAGCAACTAAGCAGTATGTTCTGAAACTTCTGTGAGGGCTATTTTAATTCAGAATCTTTAATGACCATTAGTCCCTAGGCCATCTTTACCCATAGTGGCTGCCCAACCCAGCAAGGCCACCCCACCAAACAGGTAAGCAGGTGAGGTAAACTTACTGCTAAAATACTCGGGCTCCGCTGGAGTTTGTTGTAAGGGCTGTATTTCGGCTTCAGTGGTTTCCCAGCAACTCGATCTTTATGCCTTCGGCTAGAAATGTGCTGAAAAAAGTTTGATGCATTAGCTGAATCTAAACGTGAGCTTGATTCCATGTAAAATGTATGTCTAGGTAGATGGTTTCTCCATTTCCAACGCTAGGCCCATAGTTACAAGAGGGTTTGGGTTAAATCACTATGATCTTTAAATTAAGATTTGCTCTCCTCTCAATTGTCATGCCTCTCTGTCTCTCTGTGTCTTGTCTGTTTTCTATAGTCCTTATCAGATTTTGCCTGGTATTACCACTGTCACTGCTGAGTCTCTCTCCCTCACCAGATTTTGAGTCCTTGGAAGACAGGCTTAACATCTCACTTACCTTACCAGAAGCTCCTGCTCAACTGCAAGCTCCAGTGACTGTTGTGCTCATTTCTCTGACACCTGGCCTGCAACCTGCTCAAATATTTGCTACCGATTTTTTCTTCCACACAACACCTGTATATTGTATGTTGCATGCATCCTATAAAGGTTAGTAAATTTAACTGTGCACACAGTGAGAACCATTTTGAAGATGAGGAGATACATGATCAAGTGGTGACTCCGAACAACAGTGTATACTAACTCAGGACACATTACCTGTTTGAGCTGAATTTCTGAATTAACGTGAACATCACAAATTTCACAATGAAATGTCTTATTCTGTAGTCCTGATCCCTTGCTGCCGTTCTGCATCTTTAATCTTGATCCAGGTCTAGGGTAGGATTTAATTGGACCAGCCCCATTACGAGCCTCAACCATGGTCTTGTGTTTAGATCCTGAGACAGAAAGAGACATAAATTAAAAAACTATTTGAAGAACTACATGAAGCCCTTTGTTTACTTATCCTTGAGAAGTTTATCTTCAGGCTAGCTAAAGTTCACGATGCTTTTTTCATGACCATTTTAATGCTGATTTTAAATTTCACGCATTTTCAGCGTAAAAAATGGAAAGAAAATAGAAGCATATAATAAAGAAAATATGCAAAATATAGAGAAACATAAGAAAATAAAGATTACCTGTATTTTTACCACTCACAGGTAACCACTGTTATCATTTTAGCACATTTCTTTTCAGGTTCTTTATTTACTAAAAAAATATATTTTCAAAATTGCGATCATATTAATTAAATATCCTGAAAATTTCACATAGCAAACTAAGTACATATTTTCTTATCATTATGTTTTAATGGCTGAATAATATATTCTATCATATTGAGTTACTCTAATTTGTTCAATATTTCCCTACTAGTGGACATTTTGGTTGTTTCAATTTTTTCTCTTGTAAGTGTGTTGCAGTGAACATTGTGCATAAATGTTTATCTACATCTCTGTCACTTCATCAAAATGAGTTTTGGAAAGTATTAGATGCTTTTAAGGAAATAAAGAATAGAACAAGTTTTATCTCCAATCTGCTTTTGCTTTGCTATTTCCAAAGTCATATGATCATACTTTTCTAAAATCACTCCTTTAATCAAAAAAGTAGAAGACATTGGACAAACCTAATGTTTGAATAACAAAAGATATGGCATTCTGATGGGAAAAGCTGGGTTTTGTTATAAACATTATTTAAATTCAAAAGATAGCTGCTAACCTGTGTTGTGTGCCTCTAGCTGTGACAGGGAGTTCACAGCCACTTTGCATAGTGAACAGTAAAGTAATTTTTTGGCTTTTTCTTCTTCTGATTCAGCAGCAGTACTGGGAGCTCCATTTGTGCTCTTGGAGGGAGAAGTGGCTGCTCCAGGTGGCAGGGGTGTTGTGCCAGATTTGAGGAGAAATGAGCCACCTTCAGAGCTTGATGGCTGACTGGAGCTGTTGGCTTTTAACTTCCCTTTATCTTCTAAGAGAGACACAGAGATTTTATTGAAGCCTCATATATAAACATAGATAAATCACCATAAAGGAATTAAAAACAGAAATTTGATTCCTATATGGAGTTTTTACTGCAGCACAGATTTTAATTCATAGAGCTTGATTTAAGCAGAACTCCATGGCATCAGTTTCCATATTAGGTCACCCAAGACCATCATGACTTATGAAAAATGACTTTGTTTTCCCACTTGGAGCAGGTAACTTTCTGTCTGATATCCATGACTTGTAAATCTTGCTACAAGGAAGTCTTTATTATATAACAAAAGCAGCTACCCTCCAATGCAGTTACACGATATGATGGTAACATGGAAGAAGTCATTAGGCCATGCTAGTTTCATTTGACTACTCATGTTTTAATTATGACAGGGATATAAAGTTAAAATTCAATTTTTATACCAAGTTAAAATTTTAACTTTGGATTACAGGATAGAAGGGAGGGAAGAAACATGGTTAATTTTGGTTATGATTAGTTAAGTTTTTCCTGCTCTTTGACAGGCAATGCAACTTATCAAAAATGAGACAAGGATTTCATTCATTATGCTTATTAATTACCACCAATCTAAATCTAAAATTTTAAATAATGACATTAACCATAAGTACAATATGAAGATTAGCCAAATCATTTAAAAGACATCTTGGTAGTTTGATCATGTAGCTACTAAATGCTTATAATCCTCAAGGCCCATGTGCAGGCTACGAGGGGTCTGAGTGCTTGAACAGAATCTAACTCATCGAAGTTCATTTGCTCTTCAAGACAGGATCTGTTCAGTGACTCCTTTGGGAAAGAAACTAGAGCTTTGTAGGCAACAGCAAAATCCATCAGGCCTTTAATCCTAGTAGAGCTGGTACTCTTAGAAAATGTCTATAGATATGCTGATTAACTCTCATTAAGAGAGAAAGGGAATTAAAACTGAGAATATATTTGCTAATTGCCTTAGCTAATTTGGAATTGCATACCATTGGCCTGAATGACCGAAAGAGAAGGCGTGACTCAGCAAGAGCAATGTGGTGTTTCTGTGCATATGTTACAGGTTTTGTATATGGCTACACCAAAGCTTTTAGAACTCAGCAAAAATTATGGGAGATCATATTTCCACTACAACATAAAGAAAAGCCTAATTGGTTTAGGGATCAGCATTCAATTTCCATCCCTTTCCCTGAGATGGATCCATCTGGGACAAGACTAGACACAACAAGGGTGTTAGAGAGGGATTCCAGATGTAGGTGTTGTTTAGAATAAATGAATGCTGAAATCCTTTCTTATCCTTAGGTTCCACATTCTATATTATCTCTCGGCAAGTGTATTAAAACTTCAGGATGACATGAAGTATGATGGAAAAGGTCTTAGACTTTTATTAAACGACCTCTATAGTAAGAAAGAAGGAAATAAAATCATTCTTCTCAATTGGTAATAGTAACTTTGATTTGAGAATATTCTAGGCCAGTTTTGAAAATCTCTCATCTATAAGGATTTCTCAGATTGAATTTGCAATCTTATAGAACTCATAAAGCGCCAACTAATTTAGTAATCTTAATATTTTCCCCTTTGGAATCACTCAGTTTCTTGTTATGGAAACTTAAGTTATTGCACACTGAAATCATTCCTTGCTTCAAGCGTTTCATAAGATATTTCATATAAATTTGACCTAAAAGGATCTGACCTGAATCATTCATTTATTCACTTATTCTCTCTCATATTACTATTTTAATGTCCCTCATATACCCATACATTTATATAGAACTTTACAGTTTACAAAGTGCTACCACTTACATTATCTTATTATCTCTCACGGAAAACTTATGAAATAGGTAAGGCTGAAAGTGATGATTCTTTTCCTAAAGATGAGGAAACTGAATATCATCAAAATTAAATAATGTCCCACAGATTAGAAGGGGGCATAAAGGAGCATAATGTTTTCTCTAACTGATCGCTATGTGATACACTAATCTTTCAGCACAAAAGGAGGACTTAATATGTCATTAATAATATAAAAGCACACAATAGTCACCCTAGATGTGAAATAGCTATTGCTTTGTTTTACAATTATAAAACAATTACAATTGTTTTACAAAGTTTAGGGTTTTTTTATTTTTGTTTTTGGAGACAGGGTCTCACTCTGTTGCCCAGGCTAGATTGCAGTGGTATGATCATAGCTCACTGTAGCCTCAAACTCCTGGGCTCAAGGAGTCCTCCTGTTTTAGGATCCCAACTAGCTAGGACTACAGGCACATGCCACCATGCCCAGCTAATTTTTAAAAATTTTTTGTAGAGGCAGGGTCTTGCTATGTTGTCCAGCTGGTCTTGAACTCATGGTGCAGTTTAGTTTTAAAATATATTTGCCTTAAACAAAAATATCTATCCTGTTCAACAGTCATCTGATTCAGGTTATTTTGAGAAGATATATAAAATTATATGTTTTTCTCTACATCCCTCTTTAAGAAAAACAGGTTTCCTTTTTATATCTTCTTTTCAAAAGAGGTGATTTAGGCATTAATAAGTACATATTAACAATATATTAATTGCTAATAATGTGCTAGATACTGAAGAGAACAGTAAATAAAGTAGGAATAGACTATAAGAATGTTACAGTTTAGGAGGAGGAAATGAGATAGTCATTCAGAGACCTCTAATTTATGATAGAAACTGTTAAGAGGCATGAGAACATAGAGCAGAAAATGACAACTTCTACTTGGGAAGAAAGAGACATTTTTCATTAAGGAAGTGGCATTTTGAAGATTTTGAAGGTCAAATTTAGATAAGCTTAGAATAGAGGTGAAAAGGATTGGCAAGTGAATGGTTAGACATAGAAACATGAGGAAATACTTAGTTGTTAGAAATCTTAGGGTTTTCTTGGTGAATACCTGGTAGTTGAGCATACAGCTGGTAACAAATGTAATGGGAGATATTATTATTAACGTCAATTGAGCCAGAAGGCAGGGACTATCTTAAAACTATTAAAAAAATACTAAAGGCAGACATTTCCCTTTTAAAACATATTGAGAAGCATGATGTGTTTAACATTTACATGATCTAAAATTTAGATGTTTTGATTTTTTTCCCCCATATAGGCCAGAGTCTTAATCTGTGAGAATATTAAGGAAAAATTTTGACTTTGGAAATATGTAAATGGTTTCACTATATTCAGGAAACTCTGTTTTTGGGTTGATACCATCTAGTCAATATAACAGATCCTAAAATCAGAAAAGTCACGACAAATTTATATTTAAATTGTGGCATTCTTTCTGGACATATAAAATTAAAATCTTCAAAGCCTTTTATTATTTCTCATCTTAATTACTTGATATTTTTATCAAATCTATTACATTATTTCTCTTTCCTTACTGCCATTTTTAAGCCTCCTTATTTTGTGTATTTGAAAGTTTAATTAATGTACTGTTTACTTCTGTTTCTTTTAATAAAGATGCATGTCATATGGAACTTCTAGTTAATACGAATTCCATTTTCAAGTATTCCCTCACCTAATGTTAATCAGCAGGTCTTCTGACTGTCTTAATTATTTCCTGATTACTCAAACACCTTTTTTAAGGTTTTGTCTTCCAGGATTTTGAAGCAAAATTTGCTTAGCCACATCAGAATTGCCCTTTGTAACAAATATCCATAATTTATGCATCCAAGTGAATTTATTTCTTCAAAATAGCCTCCTTCAGAGGTTCCACATTGATTCACTTATTTTCCAAAGCTCCAAACATTTGGAAACCTTTATTTTTGTGACTGCTTTCATGCCTAGTTGATAAACCATGTAAAGAAAATCAGTCTTCAAAATTTGTCACCCTTATTTTTTACTCCAAAAACTTTACTCAAATTAATCTACCTTATTCATCAAATTTAACATTATATTGCTCAAAAACAGCCTCCGAGGGCTAATATGCTAACACAGAAGATAAAAACAACATGCCAGAAGTTCTAAAAAGCAGTTTAAAGGAACTAATACTGTTGGAATATGGAAGAATCATGTCCATATATGGGTCTTAATTTGAAAAACAATCAAAATAATATTCTACCTGCAATTTAGGTCTTATATTATGAATTAGGGCTTTGGAAGCTATAATCAAATTTTTGTTATTCTATTTGTAAGATTTACTTTTGAGTTTAATTTTAATGTAATGAGTTTTTTTCTAACCAGGTTTCAGTGGTTTATTAACAGATACATATTTTATATAATAAATTTAGGCTCACTGTAGAAAATTTTAAAAATGAAGTCAGACAAATATTTTAAAAAATTAAAATCACCCATGATTCCATCATCTAGAATAATAGTTGGTAAGCTATCTCTATACAGCACCAGATGACACATATATTACAGGCTATATGATCTCTGTCGTAAATACTGAATTCTGCTTTGTAGGAGGAAAGCAGCCACTGACATGGCCATGATCCAGTAAGACTCTATTTACAAAAACAGGTGGCAGGCAAGATCTAGCCCATAGGCAGTAGTTTGCCGATCCTTGATCTAGCATGATTATGTTTTGGTATACATTACTCCGTACTATTTTTTTACACAATAGTAAATAGGAATATACAAAAACATATTATTCTATAACTAACATTTTTCACTTAGGAATAAACCAAGAACATCTTTTCATGTCAATAAATGTAGAATTGGATTGTGATTTATAACACCAAATCATATTTACTTATATGGATGTACTATATTCAACTAATCTTTTGATATTTGGGTTATTTCTGGTTTGCACTTTTATTGTTAAAAGGATGCTGAATAGAGCTTTTGTTGCCTCAGTGAATGACACAACTGAGAACTGATAGCAACTGGTATTAAGTATTGCAGAATGCTAGAGAAAGTCCCCAAGGAGCCCCTAGACACATTCCTGTAAAATTTATATGAGGTAGTGGAATGGCTACTAATACCCTATCACTCACCTGTCTAGTCTATGTAAGAATAATGTGAGGACTGGACGACTCACTGGAGCCATGAGTTTCTAGCCTGG